TATAACCACCAAATATGTAGCCATGAGCACGAATTATGGTCACAGTGGGTCCAAGGTCGTCACAATGACGGTGAAATGTTTCTGAATTCCATCCATTATACGAAGCTCTGTAGCACCGTTTCCAGTAACTTTTCGACGCACTCTGCAAACGGGAATTAAGCCAGGAATTCAGCTGGGACATTTTACTTGTGTCTCCACCTATGATACTTGAGTCATCGAGGCCACCTGGGAGAAGAAAATTTGACGGAAATGTCAATAATGTGTATGCTGTGTTAACGTAAATAAAGCGCTAATGATAGAACAATTACTAAAATCTTAGCTCATTATATGTTAAGAAATCTGTCTTTTCCACGACATGAATTAACAAAAACCTCCATTCAGTGCTCGGATATTTTTCGGCGGATATGATCGGTTCCGAAATGCAAACAGTTCTCCGAAAGCGAAGCAGGAACTCATAATCTTTGGCATCAAATTTACGAGAATATTTTCAAACAAAATAGAGGCTAGCTATTAAGTCATTATCTACCAAGAATGGAGTATAGGGGACGTTTATGTATAAACTCAGGCTTCTGGAGTAGAGCTCAGAGGTTACGCCTCCTCAGCTTATGTTTTCATTGCTTTGACCGAAAAATGTCATCACGAAAAAAAAAAAAACAAAACAAGGTGGACTCGTTAGGTTCCACAATTTGCTTCTCTATTCTTAAAATTTTGATTTTGAAGTAAGGCTTAGTTACCAGGACTTTCGAGAAACGGGCCCCAGGGCTCAAAACCTAGACGCAGAGGCTAACGTTCATTCCTTAAACCAATGACGGAAAGACTATTAAAGTCGAAACTTACGGTGAACAGAGCACGTTTTTCCATCGCCATAGTAGCCAGAGTTATGGTCACACTGGCAAGTAAATGATCCTGGTGTGTTCGAACACTTTGCGTTGGCATCACAGTCATGACTGTTGAGTGTACATTCATCGACATCTAAACGATGGGAGAAAGAACGCATCTTAAGGTTTGCCCGAGTCAAATAAAATATATCTTTTATTAGGAAAGTGAAAGTGAGCGATGTAGACACGTTTTTTAGCAATAATCAGCTTTCCTCCGCTTTGATCACTGCATTAGCTAGAGAGTCTTGCACACCCGAATGATGGCTTAAGATTTTTTAGAATACATTGAAAAAGAATACTGAAAACAATTAACTTTATTCGAAATATCAATTGTTAGATACGAAACCATCTTGTTCAAAAACGGCCGCGGAGAAGAATGGAATCCTCCTACTTTTGAAGAGTGCGAATGTCGTATTACTTTCAAAAGTAGAAAGAAAGTTTAACGCCGATGCCTAGTAAATGTACCTCTACAAGTCTTTCCATCACCAGTGTAACCGTTCATGCAACTACAAGTGTACGATCCATCAGTGTTTTGACACGTTGCACTGCTATCACACTCATTGCTTAAAGAACATTCATCTATATCTGCAACAGGAACGGTAAGACAAAACGTGAGGTACTCCAAAATGCCCAAAGTGTTCCTTGTAAGCGGAAAGCTACAGCCCGGTGGCTAACCCCTTTCGTCTTTCAATACAATAAGGTACAATGATGAGATTGATAAGGATTTTGTCGTATTTTAAATGGTCCTATAGCAATAAAATTCCTCCACTTTGGAAATTCCACAACTCTTTTAGGATAAGTGGTTGTTGCTATGGTTATCGTGATCAATTCTGTGATTGGTGGATTTGACTGAAAGGACTAAGTATGACTGGCTGCTTTCACTGTCCGATTACAGGTTTCCGATTACAGCCAACTGTCCGATTAGAACTCTACAACTACTGCACCAATCACATAAGAGGAAATTGTAATTCGTGATTGCATTTATGCATTGAGTGGATTTAACTGGGTGGACTTAGTATGATTGCTTCGCGGTCGTCCGATTTCATTAATCACTTGTATGATTACAGACCGAATTGGACTCCACTCGGTCCAATAACCATTATTAATCATAACCATTCCAATTTCCGAAAAAAAAACAACAACAACAACAAATACACTTAAGAAAAACATCTCCAGTAGTGAAAATGTCTAATAAAAAATTCGGAAATTTCCCAGTTTTTTTTTTTAAGGGTGAGTGGTTGTTGCCATGGTTATTGTGGTCAGTTCTGTGATTGGTGGATTTAACTGGGTTGACTTAGTATGATTGGCTGCTTCAACTGTCCGATTACAGGTGTCCGATAAGAGCTAATCAGTCAGTCAACTAATCAGTCAGTCAGTCAATAAATCAAGCATCAATCCGTCCCTTATCAATACACTAGACAGCAAAACTTCTTAATTTTAGCATGATATAGAGGGTTCTGAATTTTGCCACGTACTGACTTGCACATAAACTCGGAACACATTATTGTAGTATTCACACTTGGCTAAGTTTCCCAGAGTGACAACTTTAATGAGGGTAAATCCCTTAAAGCAATACCTGCACAACTCCGACCATCACCGCTATACCCACTGGTACAATGGCATTTATACGACCCGTGTGTGTTCGTGCAGATACCATTCTTGCTGCAGTCATGATTATTTCCTACACATTCATCAAGGTCTTGAGAAAAAAAAAGTTTGATAACGATAAGGCAAAAAGAAAAAGCAACAGTACTAGCGAACAAATTAAAAAATAGAACAAGAACTTAAAACTGTATCGTGGGCGGCGATGAGAGGCAGGGATGGGGCGGGGGGCTGGAGGAAGGGACGAAAGGAGAAAGGAAGGAGTAAAGAAAAGTGAAAAGGGATGAGCAAGGTTTTCGATTACCGCTTTGTTAGTTTTCCAAACCCTTTTTCAGTATTCCACGTACTTTTTTTGAAACAAACAAGCATTCCGAAATTGTTATCTCGAGCAAGAAAATATCCTAAGCAGATACAGTGTTTGATTGATATCGACCTGCAAAAATTACCATTCCCTTACCCTCTGAACACGTGAAGTTATGACAGCTTCCGCAGCTTACGTCATTCCACTCAAAACTATGTCCAACTCCTAGGGTATGGACGCAGTCCTCGTCTAGTCTGAAATCGTTAGGTTGATTTGGAGCCCAATATGTGAAGTTGCTTGACT